TTCCCTTTCTGTCTGGGAGTTGTTAGGGTTATAAGCTGCATCAGTTTTCCCAAATTCTTTCAGCTTCATAATTAGCAGTGTTTGCAAATGTGCCTTTAGCTTGGCAAGTGGGGAGGAAATGAAAGAAGGTGAGTAACAACTATGAAGGACAAAGAAAGAGCAGCTCCTACAGAAGGTTTTCTGTCAGTCCGGCCATTCCTCACCTATTCCCTCTCTTGGTTGTTTTTCCAGAACTAGAAATGGGATTAAAATAAAGGGGAGAGGAGGGAGATGGGTTCCTCACTTGCTAAAAATGCAGGGGACTTCCCTTTTCCCCTAGTAGGGTATTTTTAGAAGTTCCAAATTCTGTTTAATTATCTATGGGAAAGAGAAACAGTGCACTTCCCTGCAGCTAGCGTCTAACGTGATGGAGGTAGAAATAATAAGGCAGCAGTGGACAGAGCTAAAATACCCATGTAATTATTGGAAATTTAAGCTGCAGTATCAGGTAGGAAACTTTACCTGTATGCAGAGTTGTATCTTGCTGCCTTAAAGCACTCCATGGTGTAAGTCCCAGCGGGATCACCAACTTTTAAAGTTATCCTCACAAAATCCCTGTGAATTGTTCTTCTTCCCTGGTTTACAGGTAGATGCAAATACATCGATATGTGGGATTTTAAACCAAATCGGAGTGACTTCATCAAGTCTCATATCAGTCCGTGGCAGAGATGGGATGACGATGCTTGGGGGTCTGCCTTATTTTTTCATGCGCGGCCCAACTCATCCGTCACACTCCACCCTGTACAGCATCTGCCATGAAGGAGACAATAGATAGCACTTTTATCTCTGTGCTCTCTTTTCTAATATATTTTAACTGTGCTCCCTGTTTGCCACTTCTTCACAGAGCCTAAACCCATCAGACAAGGGGTTCTCTCCCCTCCTTTTTCAGTGATGACTGTGGCAGGGCATGTTAGTGTGTAACACAAACAGCGTGGCAGATTCTCTCTATAGGGTTTATTTCAGTGCCTCGTCACACGGCTATGAATAATGAGTTCCTGCCCTTGTATACTGTCCACATTGAGAGTGCTCAGAAATCCTAAGCTGTTTTCATACTGGGGACTTCCATAAATATCTGATCCCGCGGGGATGGCAGAGTTGTGGCTGACAGCAATCATGAGTAACCCCTTAAAAGTCATCCTAATGGAAAGTTTAAAAGTTATGAATAATCCTGTTAAATGAAGGAAAAAAAGTGATTTATCTTAAAATATTTAGAGCAGATGCATCATTTGAGCAATAAACCAATGATGTGCCTGATTTAGAAATGTCATAACTTCAAAGAAACTGAGTCAGTAGTTCAGCATGAAGTGACATTGCTTCTGAAGCAAGGGAAGCAACCCCGCTTTCCCAAAAGCAATCGGAAATACAAATTGTGTACACCCAAAAATAAATAGTGTGAAATAAAAACATGTGAAATGACTTAGAAATAAGAAGAGGATTGCCCTCCCCAGGTTTTCATCTGTTAGCTTTGGAACACAACCACTGCTCTCCTCAGAAGGCATGCTGGCACTGCAGTACCAACACACTTTTCCCTGCTGGGCTGGCCTTGGGAGAGCCATCCTGAGTGCTGTACACCACTGAGCCCATCTTCTGCTCGTTGGGTGCAGTGCACGCTCACTTTTATTGATGGCAGCCCCTGCTACCTTCTTACCAGAGATAAATGTTTCTAGTAATGTTGCACATAAGCTTAGAAACAACGCCAAAAAGGATTCCTCTAAAAAGCAGGCCTCCTATTTATTGTAATGACTGGTCTTTTGCTGGTGGTACCGTGAGCAGATGACAGCTGAACCTGCTGCAGGCTGACACACACGGCTCAGTGTGGGCTTGCTCTGGCCTGAGAGGGTCTGCAAGAGCCAGCGTGGCTTTTAGGCAGCGGGTGCTCTGCATCACTTCTGCCATGCCCGACAGACACCGGTCCACCCCGTTCTTACAGACAGGCTCCACGTTCTCCCCAGCACAGTCTGCTCTCAAACTGTGTCTGGCTTGGAGAAAAAGGCGGCGGGGTGACCACATGGCTCTCTGCAACTGCCTGAGGAGGTGACATGCAGGGGCTCCAGCCCCTTCCTGGTAGCCGATGACAGGACGTGTGGTGGCAGCACGAAGCTGTGTCAGGGAAGGGTCAGGCTGGGTGTTAGGAGCAGTTTCTTTGCCGTGAGGGTGGTCAGACACTGGGACAAGCTTCCTAAAGAGGTGGTTGATGCCCTGTGCCTGTCAGTGTTTAAGCGGCATTTGGACAATGCCCTCAATAATACGCTTTGACTTTTGGTTAGCCCTGAAGTGGTCAGGCAGCTGGACTCGATGATCTTTGTAGGTCCCTTCCAACTCTAAATTCTGAAGATGTTTTTCACAGTCACTGCCATTAGAGACGTGTTACTGATGTTGAACCAGCACCGCCTGCTCCTGTCCACCCTGAAGATGCAGAGGTCCAGCTCCTTCCTCGCTGCAGCAGCCCCTGGCATGGGGCAGTTTTGATGTCCCCTTGGTTTTCCTTTCTAACGTTCAGCAACCCCAACTCAGGCTGTAATTAATGACAGTCCTGCCCCAAGCAGCTTGGTAGTGGGCCCGATCAGCCTGATGTCATTACTTCGCAATGACAATTTTCTAACTAACTCCATGTGATATTCCATCTGTTTGACACTATTAAAAACTTTTTTATATAGCCCGTATTATTGTAGTTGCCGAGCTCCCCACAAACATCACAGTGAGGAAGGGAAGTGCTGTTATACCCACCAAGGCACAGACAGACCATGACCTGCCGAGATCACACAGCAAGTCTTATCAGGGAATTAAACACAGAGCTCTAAAGCCTGTGGCCAGCTCTCTAGCTGTATGGTACATTAATGCAGAGAATCAGGATGCTCCTGAATGTGCAAGCAAATACCAAAAGTATGGAATCGTATGTGAGAATTTTATTTTTTAATAAATCTCACACTATTTTTAATAAAGGCAAGATTATGTGCATGGTACCCCAGGAAAAAAAAAAAAAGTTAAAAACACCACTTTTTCGGTTCCTGTCTGAAGTAATTTAATAACAGGTTCAATTACTCCTTGTTGTTGGTCAGGCATAGGTGAGAAGCCATTTAATCCTCATGCACCAAGAAGTCTGAAGTTAAATTTGGTTTGATAAGTGTTAAGTTAAAGCACAAACGTGTGGATAAGGACCCTAAAGTGAGCTAAGTGGCCCTCAGTTTTATTTCCTAGAGCTTGCAGCCATGGGATTTTCTTTCTACTTTACATTAAATAAGGTTTGTGTTAATGGATGGCCCACCAAAGGCATCCCAAATTCTTGCCTGGTCTGTAGCAAAGAGCAGCATTGCTGTTTTGGCGTTCGAACACAGTTAGGAGCACAAAGACTTCTACCTCTGCATGCATACACTAACCTGGAATGAACTTTGTACATCTGTGCTGTAGAGAGATGTTTAGTAGCTTTCTGGTACTTTCTGAGTATAAATATTCTGATCACAAAAACACCAAGAATATATTAATACTACAAAATCTGATTTTTGGTCTACAAATGCAGCGCAGTGAGAGGGGGAGAAGAGAAACGCCTTAGCTTTTGCTTGAGATTTCACTTAGTCCCAGATTAACTCTTAAATCTTGATTTATTTAACTCCATGAATATCTTCCTGTAATGTGCACAGATTACATTGTAAAATCTCTTCAAAGGTCAATTTAGAATAGTCTGAGCAAATAAACACAAAATAAAAGAAAAGGCACTGGGACTGGTGTGTATCTGAGACCTTAACAAAAGGTATGCTAGCTTAATTTGAGCCAGGGGAGCTGAATGAAGATTGTGTTTAACCAGATATGCTGGCAAAAATATGCTTCAGAAGAGCCAGAACCACATGTGGCCGTTCCACTTTAATTGTGCTTGTTTTAAAAGATAGGTCTTTAACATTTACCCTATCCATGCTTGCTCTATCTTTATGAACTGAAAATAAAAGCTCCCCAGGCAGTCATACTAAGACCTCAAACCTAAATTTTTTCAGCTGAGTCAAAAGCAAAACCTATGTTGAATCTGCCCCATGCATTTCTTCATTTCTTTTCTTTTTTTTTTTGACTTGTCTGCCTTTTTTTTTTCTTTTTTTTCCGAGTCCCCAGGCCAGTCCTAACCCAGGAGAGAGTGTTTTGATACTAAATGTATCTCCTTGGTGAGGTCAAAGGCAGTGGCAGCAGTGCTACTGGTTCGAAGGCAGCCTGCTGTAATAAACTACAAAACCCAAAAGTACGCTCAGCAATAACAAAAGCATTAACCGCTGACCCACAACTTGGTGAAATTCAATCCCACCATTAGGCAAACATGAAAATGAGATCCCAGAGGAAGGAAGGTTCAGATGTTCAAGTCCAGAGAAATTGGGTGAGGAAGACAGACAACTAGATGGAAGTTACTGCAAACTGAGGAGAGGTAGAGAAGCTGCCAGCTCAACACAGTAGGATCATTTAATACCATAAATTTCAGCAAGAACTTAGCAGTGTTTTTGCTCCACTCTGGAACAAAGCAAACTGAAATGCTCAGTGGCAAAGACATCCTTCCACCATTTTAGGGATGTGTTTAATCTGATACAACTTCATTTCACAGGGATTGTTGCTTCAGATCTTCATGTTTCCAGATTTGCTTTAATTAAACGTTTGTGTCGAAGTGCAGGTGTCACTGGAGAGCTGGATTGTTCCAGGAACCTGAAAGCACCAAGCACCCACGTCTGACTCAGTTTTCTCTTGTGTCAGCTGGTTATGGTTTTGCACCGGTGTAACTGAGGATATTTCAGTGAGAACCCAGTGCCAAACTCATGACCCCATAGAAAATACATTGTGAATCTCGTACATTTAAGAAAGTGGCAGCGGGTCTGGATGCTGTAAGGATTTCTACCTGCAGTGTGCAGCCATCATTAGCAGGAAGCTGGAGATGGGGGTACTGGCAGGACTGCACCTCAGTTGTTGTTATAGTGCGTTGCTTTTTTCCCCAGAACACACTTACTACAGATGACCATTCTCCTGAAGACAGCTTTACCCTGAACCCCGAGGACAGAAGAGAATACCCTGATCTCCAGGCTGCCCACCGGCCATTCCCTAAGCAGCGATTCAGGCAGGAAAACGGGCACACGTCCTTACAAAGAGATGGACCCAGATCTTTCCTCCTGGATCTCCCAAACTTCCCTGACCTGTCAAAAGCAGATATCAATGGGCAGAATCCCAACATTCAGGTACAAATTTTTGTTAGCATGTGATGTTTTATGAAGCTACACAAGATCATTTTACTGAGCCAAGTGACCTTTCAGCCTGGCTTCCATGTTGTGCAGTCAGTTCTCTGCCTCTCTACCCAAGAGAGGTTATATGTACCCTCTGTCTGAATGCCCAGATTTCAGTTTTTTTTTCTTCTGAATTTCTCTTTGGATATTGTTGATTGCATAATGTAGGTATCAATATAGACCTGTTTATGATACTAAAGCCATCTTTGTTTTTGCATTTTGGAACATATTATCTTTGATATTAAATGGGTATTTTAAATTCTGTTTTCAACTCTGCATTGTAAAATTTGTTTATGAACAGATTCTCTTTTAGCATGCTATTATAAAATACAATCCTTCCCAAAGGTTTTAAGAAAGTATGTCTTTAACTTTCATCTTAAAATATGGTCTGCTGTATGGAACTAAGACTTAAAGTTAATTTCTGCAGCAGCTGCCTGGAATAATAATAATAAAAAAAAAAAAAAGTTGTCTGCAAATAAACTTTGTTATATGTTATTCCTAAAACTATTCTTGAGCTTGGAATGGCCTCTTGCAAGCCACTTGCATCTTAAAACTTCAAGGATTAGAAAGAGGAAAAAATGAGTGATTTGGTTTTAATTCAGAGCCTTAAAGCAAAATTGGCATTAATAAGCAGTCTTTTTTAACCAAAACAATAAATTGAAATGTTGTTCTGCCTAAGATGTGCTTATAAAAACAATACGCTAATAGAACGAGTATTCTGGTTAGATAAATTCCTGGCTTCTTACAGTCCCCCAGCCCACAAAATTACCATCCTTTTGATATGTCTAAGAAGTACATACATAAAGATATAAAAGATCTATTCGTGAGAGAACAAGCTGTCTCAAGTCAATGCTCCATTACTTCATAGATGGCTTGCAACGTTAAGAAGTCTAACAGCTTTGGATCAAGTGCAGGTCCAACACTCGACAGGCCAAGGTAGTAAACATGTTCAACACATGGTGCCTGTACGCATCTCGCATGCTGGGAGAAGCCTTCCAGAAAGCCTTAGGAAGGGAAGGTGGGGAAGCTGTAGGGGCCCCAGGTTGTGGCAGGCGGTGAATGGTGTAACATCACTGTTTGAACAGTATGCAAACCACGGAGGAGGACAGGAGGAAACAAAATCCTTCTCTGATTCGTGACAGCATTTAACGTTTAGACCTAGGGAATAGATAAATGAGTGGAGGATGGAAACATTTCCCTGGCTTGTCTTTACAGTAACTGCTTCTGCTGTAAACTCTTTTTCCACCACCTGATGCTGGAAATGTGTCAGCCAGCTAAGTCAGCAGTTTTGCTGGACTCTGAGAACTGGAAAGCCTAGTCCTGTAAACTGGAAAACATTGGGCAACATTAATAACAGAGCTCTTACGCACAAGGATCAACTCTTTCAGAAATAGGCTCCTTACATTCTGCTTTATATTTAGTCTGCTTACTCAGGTGCATAAATAGGGATATACAGAGCTTCCTGAAGTTCCTGGTTGACTGTCCTACAGCAGACCAGGCATTACAGAGAGAAAGCTGCCATTAATTCATTAAAAAGTCAATGGAAGTTTATTTCTTTGCTTGAAGGTTGTAAAAGGTGGTCTTTTTTTTCTTGTGGGGAAAAAAAAAAAAGATGTATAGTGAATTCTTGCTCGTTAACCAATACTTTACTTATCTGAACGGAAATAATGACAGTTGTTGACTTGTAAATTTCTTGTCACCTCTTTGACAAGTGAAAGCAGAATCAAAACTCATTTTTCTTTTTCACAATAGCTTTGGGCTCTGTAAGTTGCAGTTCTGAGGGTGTTAACTGAAGAGCCTTCACAGGACAGTGATATACAGGACATGGTTTCACAGTCATGAACCAAACATCTGTGGAGATCTGACCTATTGCGTACATGCATTGTAATATACAGCAGGGTGGAATTTTGAATGAGCACTGCTGGGTGAGCAAGAAGATAGAAACTCAGTTTCTGCTGCAGCTAACATGGTTTGACATCCCCGATGACTTTGCATCCAGCCCTCCACGTGCTGTATGCAGTCTAGAGACAATTTGTGTGGCTTCTTGGGAAGAGGGGCACTGCTCCAGAGGACAGCCACCAACCTAGAAAGTGTCAGCTCACTGCCAGATCAGGCACCTGCTTGCAGTTAGAAGAGGACAGGAATATGTGAGTGGACATAACGAGCAGTAGGTGGAAAAAGCATTAGAGGCAGCTGGTGAAACAGCAGCAGGGGACTGGCTGTGAGACATCGAGCCAGCCTCTTGCCTCTTTATGACAGGAGTCAGGATAAAGGTGACCCTCGTGTTGCACAGGATAACAGTGCTGTGAAGTCCACGGTACTGTAGCAAATTAGTATTTTGTGTCCCGGGATTTGGTTGAAAAGGAGAAAAAAAAACAAACAACAGCTATGTGTTAATCTAGTACAATGGCCACATTTACCTCTCACGGACACCACAGCCTCTTTCCTCTTTACTACTACAAGTCTGTGTAGACCAAAAATAACATTTTAAAGGGAAATTGTACCTGGAAATTTAAAAAACCTGATAAACAGATGTAAAAAATCAGCCTAAGAAAGCAAATTGAAAAGATACTCTGGTGAGTTTTCTTTATGACCATTCCTTCTCCGGTTTCCTGCAAGAAGGTAATTGCAGTATCATGCCCTAGTTGTGTTCAGTTTCAGGGAGGAAGGTGTGGATATCAGAACACAATCACAGGAATTCAGAAAATTAACATGTCCCTAGACTACTACTGTGTTTATCAGGTGATAATCAAGTATAAGTATAGTGGACTGTCTTCTAGAAAAACCTCAGGAGCGATAATCAGAGCAGCAGTAATGCAAACGCTATTTGACCCTATGTGTGCAAGACCAGGATGACACTTACTGGTCTTTCTGGTGAAGGCTGGTGCTCCAGCCTTGATAAATTTTGCATCACTTCAAGGAAAGTTTTATGCTTTAGCACTACTTTTACACTCATTGTTTGAGAGTAACTGCAAGGGCTGCTGTTGTGCAAAGGAAGGCTGTTTGGTTTGAGATATTTGATTTTCTTGTCATTTCAACTATTCTGTCAATGCCTGGAAGGCTTCAGCAAGAGAAGATGATTACAGAAACTGATCACACCTTTTCTCTGGATTTCCTCACATGAGGAATGCCCCTTTTGCGTAGGTTTGCACTCCTTTGACTAGCTGAGGGATGCTATTAAACTAGCTGAGGGATGCTATGAAGACCTTGTAAATGCAGGGTTGTTCAGAGTAGGACAGACTTGTTCCTACTTGTTCTAGGTAACACAATAACGCCATTTGGGGATGTATAGGAACCTGCTTGTTTTCCATTTCTGATGGTTTTTTTTTTCTCATCTCTTCCAACCAGACTTCTACAACCTCTCAGCTCTCCTTTGAGACCCTGGGCCCTGTGTCTTTCACCTTCTTGGCCATTCCTCTGTTTGGAACCTGATGCCTCATCACGCAGTTGAACTTTTTCCCATGTCTTTCCTCTTTGCTTTTCACTCCTGGTTTTTCAGGCTTGTGTAGGTAGAGTGCTGTTCTCTGTTGTCCCAGTGCTTTGCTGCTTTCCTAGCAGTGCTGGGTACCTTGACAAATGAGAAGAAAATGGAAAACTCCCTATTGTTTGTCAGGTGAAAGCTTTTTATTGATATTGATCCACTTTGGAGAACTTGAATCTTGACCAGATTTCACACCCAGTGTACCTGAAATACAACTGGGTGAGTTCCAGCAGTGATGATTGATAAGATGGGTTCCAAGTAGAAACAGAGTTAGGTAATATTCCTGGCCTAAAAATGTGTTGGTGTGGCCTGGAAACTGAACTAGAAGAGGATATGATTAAACCTGTTTTGATTAGTATCCTCACTGTGAATTGTGGCATTGCTAACAATTGATAGGAGTGATTTCAAGGCAGAAGTTAACGCTGCCTGCTTGGTGATGTTACATGAGGCCTGTGGGCCATATTCACCAGTCATACTACACTAGTGCTGCTTTGTTAGCTTTGTTTGATATCTGTTTGATATCTACTCAGTTTCTACCTTCCCTTAAAAAACAACAACAACAAAAACAACAACAAAAACACAACTCTACACAGAACCACCCACTCTAGGAAGATACAGAATACAGAGAAACAAGGCTGTGAGATCTGCTTTAAGAAATAACTGCAGACTTCAAAGTAACTCTTTTCCAGGTTCATCAATACCCATTCCCCTCACCTCCATCCATATCACATATTTTATTAGATATATTTCTAAGATAACCTTTATATTTGTCATTTGAAGCTGCTGGCTTCACTGCACTGGAAAGCAACGCCCTCCCAGCATTGTCACAAAAGGCTCAGCAGTATCTGTAATACTGAGCTCTGACCAGCATTTCGCATCCCTAATCTAGCACAGTAAGAATTGGAGGGCTCCAGTAGGTAGCACTCTGTTCTTGTAATGCTTCTAGGGCCTAATTCTTTGAGATGGTAGCAGCACAATTGTCCCTGTCATCAAACTAAGATGTGGACAAGCTGCAAGTGCGTGTTCATTTTCTCGTTCCTTGGGCTGGGTCTGTACCGTGGAGAACTCCCTGCTCCAAAGACCATCTGCCTGGTCAGCCTGTCTGCTTCGCTGAGCGTGCTGCAGCACCAGAGCACAGTGTAGCCACGCCAGGAACTAGCTAGTCCTCATGGTGAGCTGGAGGGATTAGTCTTGGCAGAACAGGGTGCTGGAGGGCCATGGTTAAACAGCTTTCAACACAGAGCTGTTACCTCTGCATGTCATGGTGTAACAAGGGCTCGTCAGAGAGCGCAAAATTCAGAGCTGGGCTTGGGACCAGAGTATGAATTGTGGGATTCAGTTAGACCCATCAGAAAGTGGAATTAAGACAGCATATAAGACAAATGTTAAATTTTGAGTCGTGTTGTCTTCTTTTCTCCCAGCAGATGTCAAGGTCCTTCACTTTCCTTCCAACTAGTCCAGAAAAGTGTCATGACATAACCAAGAGTAACTTGGTATCACTGCTGATGCCATTTTAGCTGAATCGTTATGTGGTGTGAACCTAAATTTATCATTTCAATACCTTATAATTAACTAATTTCTGCTCTGCTATTATATGACACTGCTGACTTGCACACCCACCTTGCAGAACGGCAAGTTCTGCGCTGACAGTTTGCATCAGTTTCACAAAAGAAACAGAGGATAGCCATGTGGTAGGCTCCACCGCTTGCACAATACTGCAAGTGTAGTTCTTCCTGTAACGTAATCTTCCAGTTGCTTGGGGCAATGTTTACACCATTAAAGTGAATTCAGAAACATTGTCTCGGTAAACAGGACAAAGCACATAGAACTTTTTGTGCACTCCAGAAGGCGGGGATAATATTTATCTTCTGTATATTTTTGGCCAGGAGAAAATTGGATGTTGGTGTCTCAGGACATCTGTGCTTGATACACTTATTTCATTAGAAATTCATTGCAAATCTGTTGTTTTAATGTACCTATGCCAATTGTTTTTAACAATTTTTAGAGGAACATCCTTATTTATAGCTCAAACAACCATAAAAGAAATGGCTTCATTTTAGGCTTGAATACTTCTGGAGTTGATTGTGGATTTATACAAGAACCATGTTACCACAGACATTTTGGGAAGTTTGACAAAAAAATAAATAATCATCTTTGCAGTTTTGATAATCACTGGAAGAGGAAGACAGGGAAAATGAATTCTGTAAAGCATTCTCTGTGATAGAAATACTAAACAAGATCTATTTTTTAATTTTTGAGAGAAGATATTTTTGTTGGAATAGTTACCCAGCATGAAAGCTTTTCCAGAGCTGTCTTAAACACTCCTTTTTCATGACTATAGTTCTAGATCTGTTTTCTTTTTTTCCTTTTTATAAACAATCCCCAGTGTAGAAACCAATCAAACAAGATACATACTTATGTACCATGTGTATGTATATGCATGGTCATGGGCTAATGCTGTTAAGGCTAACGTTTAAGTACCAGGAAGAATTCAGTGAATGCTAATTTTTCAAATTTTACATTGGGATAGGGTAGCAATTGCTCTCCTGAAGAAGCAGCCACTTCTCACACCACCACCCTAACTCTTGGGCCATACCATGAAGGCATTACTGGTGCCATTTACCACTATTACTACTACTACATGGAGGCATGACTACTTACCGATCTCCTCACGGCCATCAGAAGGTGTCTTAGAGTTAAATGGGGCTGGGCAGAGCATAGATGAGTCCCTGAAAATGAACAGAACTGGAGTCAACTGAAGTTGTTTTTTTTTTAACTTTTCAAGAGTGGCACTTCAGGCAATCCCACAACCCTGTAGAATTTCTTGCTCTCTACAGTTTTAAAGCAACGAACAAAAAACTTTGTAATCAACACTTAAAAAGGGGGAGGGAGGAATAGTGGTGTTTGTCAGACTGCCACACTGGATTTTACTTTTTTATGTTCATTTTTTTAGATAGGCTATTTAAAAACAAAACAAAAGAAGAAAAAAAAAAAAACAAGAAAAAAAAAAACAACAATGCAAAAGGTTCTGCAAAACCTCTTTTGCTTAAACTGAATCAGCATCTTGAATAAGTATTTTAAATCTCAAATACCTTTGTTTCTTCTCATTGTACCTGGCTGAAATAATGAGAGTTTACCCTGACTTGCAATCATATAACTACAGTTTACCAAAGCAAATGGAATGATTGTCAAGTGCTCCATGCCTTTTTTACGAGAGGGTTTTTTTGTTTTTGTTTTTGTTTTCCCCACTTTGCTGAGTCATTGCTTACAAAGTTAATGTGGTCTTAAAAATACTTGCGACCAAAGTACTAGAGTCATACTGATTTTCACATGGTCACTACCAAAGCCCTCTGACTGGCCAGTGGTGCACAGTGTTACCCACTCAGTAACATCATTTATTTGCACTTATTGTGAAAACTATTTTGCTTGGGTCGATGCAACAGTTCTGAATCCCTGAACTAACCCTGTTGTTTTCAAACTTATGAAATACATTTTAAATCTTGGTCTGTAGAAACTGAGGTTAATGAAGTAATCATCCTGATTCCACAGTTATGGGGCTAACATATCTCTTGTGTAAAGATGATATTAGGCTGACAACTGCACTTTCCCTTGTTCTTGCTCTTTCTCCCAGTGAGCTTCATAGTAGCCTCAAAGTTGTTTTATTTCAATGTCTCTGTGTATGGTCAAAAGCAGAGCATGAAACAGATTCAAAGTGTCCTTTCTCCAAAAAGGAACACAATTTTCCTGGAGTAATGTCTTGAAAGACTTTTTTTTAAGTTTATAAATCATGAACACCTTTGTACATATTAAACGTTATGGGTATATCTGAAATTCACATCTGTGTCGTGGTTGTTTAGCCAGTCCAATGTAATCACTGAAGCACACCAACATGAAGCATCAGAGCATTTTGTGATTTATCTATCTGCGGTCATGCTGTGCTTGCGCAGTTGTGTAGAGACAAGGATTCTGATGGCTAGTTCCTATTTCTACCTAAATAGCCCCCTATATGCATGCAGAATATTTATCCAAGAGTTTCATATTTACACATTGTTCAGCACGAGTCACCAGGGACTCTCCCTATGCAGAATTATATTTATATTCATGATGCATGTGAGTGAACTGGGCAGAAAGCTATGAATCTCACCTCTGGGTTCTGCAGAAACCGTAAATGGACTGCATATGATTTTATGCCAAAGCTTAGAAAGAGGACCCACTTCAGCTGGCTCAGCAGCAAGTGATTTATATGGCATTGTCTGGAAGAGCTTCTGGCGCTCATCGCCACAGACAGTGGTTTCACGCAGCGGTGACATCCCATGCCATGGTACGATGGAAGCACGGGTGCTGCGAGGTGGGCAGCATGAGGGGGATGGCTGAGCTGCCACTAGAGGGCAAGGCAGATGCAAACAGCTTGACCCCGCAGGGACCCTGGGCTCTGTCTTCCACCTGCAGACCCGTGGAGTTATTTAGCCCTGTGCTGAGTCAGTCCCAGCCCTTGGAACAGGCTCTGCATGCTGGTGGGCTTCATGCTTGCCTCAGATTCAGCCCCAGCATATTTAGAGTAACAGATTTCGTTTTCTTTCTCCTGGTCATATATGTCCAGGTTTAAACATCTTTTCCCCATAAGGCAGAAAGTTCTGCTGCGAAGGTTTTAGGCACAGCATGGGTTATTATTTTGCGCGGTATTTTTCCTAGCCTTTGTTCCAAGGTCTGATTCAGCAGAGGTAGCAGAAGGAATCACTCAGCCTCTGCATATCTCTGGGCTCAGTAATCCACATATGGTTTACAACAAGCTAACCCTACAGTATTACACAGCCCCTTTGCGAGGCAGCATCTCATTTGCCTGTGCCATGTAGAAGGTTCCCCAGTGACGAGGGGTGATGCTGATGGACGCTCCGGTCTGTTTTTAATCCCCCAGGTTACCATTGAAGTGGTGGATGGTCCTGACACTGAGACAGACAAGGACTTGCAGAAAGAGAGCAGCAAGCCTAGCTGGCCAGTCCCATCACCCGACTGGAGAAACTGGTGGCAGAGGTCCTCCACCTTGACTCGCATGAGCAGTGGTGACCAGGACTACAAGTACGACAGCACTACCGAGGACAGCAACTTCCTCAGCCCTCTCGGTGGGTGGGATAGTCATGCACCCAGTCACCGAACGTTTGAGTCCAAGGAGCAGCCAGAGTATGGTGAGTTTGTGTTCCAGGCCTCTTATGGGCATCTTGGGATTGTAAAATGAGTTTGGGGGAAATGAAAATGGTGAGGCATTGCTGAAAGCAGGCCAAACAAAATAGAATTTTTCAACATGTGGCTTTTGTTCATCAGCTTTTAAATACAAATCTGTGCAGATGCACAAGCTGTACTGTGGTAGCTACATTCCACTAGTAAGTCTATAATCTTGCAAATCATACCAGTTATCCCATAAGAGGACCTTTTTTTAGTCCTAAGTGTACTTTTTTTAAAAGCAAAGGAAACAAGGTTTCATATTTATTTTTAGAGTAAGGATAAGTGCAAATTTAGAATCATGCAGTGGTTTGGGAACTAAAATATAATTATTGGATAAATAAGCAAGATCTAAAACGTGGTAGTGTTTGGTGGATACACAAATAAGAAGAATTATGTTGGTGCATGTGTGGGGAGTGGCATATGCAGCAGGAACATTGTGTATTTGCGTGTGTAATTCTCTTCCAGATGTGTCATGGCGAAAACAATTGTTTTCAGCTTGTTGCATGAAACAGTTGCAGAAACTAGAAACAGAGAGGAGCTACATTTATTCACTGCCCCATTGGGGTGTAGCTATCCACAGGGAAAGACTCAAGGGAGGTGAATTAATATGCATACCCCAGGAGCCACAGGTATCTTACAGCCTCTCAGATTTCAGTTTTTATGTAAATAAATAAATAAATAAAATAAATTGGTTAGAGCAGGGTTTCAAAGCCACAGTATTTTTATCCTGGCACTTGTGTTGCATCACCTAGATATTGCAGAGGGGCTGTCTTGCATTGTTTCAGTCTTATTTTTCCCTGCCTAAGTCCTAGAGCCTTAACATTAGAGATGGCCTTTCCATGGAATGTTGTATTTAAATGTATACATATGTATTAAATTTTGTGGCCAGAAGATTGAAGTCTATCCCTTCTTTTTGCACCTGCATTTAGTCATGGGCACAATTTGTTGCCAAGAATTCATGTATTAGGTAGTTATTCATTTAGGCAAAATAAATTTTCTTTCACAAATAATTGTGGTAGAATTAAAATAATACGAATTGCAAATATCAAAAGAGGGAGGGCAGGTTGAGATCCAGCTGAAAATCCAGCTCTGTATATTTAATGTTAGATACTGTGTTTTCATGGTGCAGGATAAACACTATGTAGGCAGGCCTGAAAATTATCCTCAAGCTCTCTGCCATACACCAGTGCACCCTACTAATTGCAAGAGACTCCTGGCCTTATGACTAGTGTAAAATGTTGCATGCCATTGGCATGCCAGGAGGATGCAGCAGCAGATCCTGTCCGCTTTGATGGCTAGTTCCAGCCAGCAGACTGTTTGCACGTTTTACCTGCCCTCACCTCACCCCTGCCAAAAAGCATCCTGCAGTGCTCTGCCTGCCCACCCTGGCCTCCCAGGCTGGGCTCTTTGACAAGCATCACACCCGCTCATCCTTGTTCTTCCGCATCAGCCACGTGGAAAAAAAAATCAGTCAGAAAAGGGCTGGGAAGGAGAGCAGGGCTAGCAAGGGAGGGCAGATCTCATTTTCCTGAGAGGTCATATGCCTCTTCAGACCGCTGCAGTGCCCTCCTGTTGGCAAAGCCCAGAATCATGGCTCTTTGCACAACGATTGTACTGCGGGGGCCATAATTCCACCCACACCTGACCAGTGGACACCTGGTCCAAGTGTGCTGACGTAGCAGTCGGCAGCGGTGTAAGAAAAGGAGAAACACGTAATGTCCCTGCCACGAGGAACTCACATCTAGGCAGCTCGCTACGAGTGAGATGTATAACCTTCCCATACTCGCGGCAATAAATGTTTAATAGCACCCCACAGAGTTGTCGTCAGTCATTACATATGGTACAAATCAAGTTACGTGTTCTACTAACCAGCTCAGGAAGCCCGCAGACAGCATGGCAGTGAGGGGGAAGCAGGAGCTGTGTGTAGCACGAGGGGCTGTGCGGGCAGGGATCTGTCCTGTTATCGTGCCTGTGCATACGCGGTCAGCCTATAGCTATAGAGAGAGACAAACCTCAGCTGGGGAGGCCGAAAGTCAGGAGGCTGCTGGGAATGAAAGGGAACTGGGATTGGTCTGTGCTGCATTTGGTGCCCTTTGCAAGGTGGGGTGTGCAGCCATTAGCTCAGCAAACACACGGGACTAGCTCTAAGGTGTTTAGATACTCACAGCATCACCGAGCCTCGGCAGCACAGACTTGGTACTGTTTGTCTTGGCTGTCTAGCAGAAGAGAATGAAGTCAGGTTTCCTTATCAGATGGCTCGCCCTAATAAAGAATCAGATTCGATGTTATTCAATAATTTGGATGAATCACTACAAATTGTATGCTGTTCTGGGTGCAAGGTGAATATGCAGACCCCTATATTCATGGCAGTATTCCTGAATATCTGTTTCCTGTTTAAGGGACTGAAAAACAAAATTTGCAATTTTCACACATGACCCTCAGCCTCCCACAGTCTGACATTCATTCTGTCCTAAAAATTAATTACGTAGGCATTGTTGTGCTATTGCTGTGTGTTTTGAAGCAAAGAAAAAGAAAATTTATCCTGTGCCTGATTAGTCTGTGGTCAGAAAACATATTCCTATATACAGGGAAATGATGTGAATAGATGTGTACTGTTAGTTCATGACCCAGCTTTGCAGCTGAGGATTCTCAGCTGCCAAAAGGTCAAAAGAGAAAGGAAATATTTTTTCAAATAATGCTGCATGCATTTCCCCGAGGAGCGTCAAGTGTGAAAACCGTTTAAACAGCAGGCTTAGGCCTGGCATTTAGCCCAAGCTTCAGGTAGAGACATCTGGATTCCATTCTTGTTTTGCCTTCTTAATAAAAAACACTACACAGTAGTTTGGGGTAGTAGGAGTTTTGTTTCTTCGTTTCCTTCCTCATCTTTGTTCCTGCGCAGATTACATTGATGGTGAGGGAGACTGGAGCCCGTGGTCCCTTTGCAGCGTCACCTGCGGGAGCGGCAATCAGAAGCGGACGAGGTCCTGTGGGTACGCCTGCACCGCCACCGAGTCACGGAGCTGCGACAGGCCAAACTGCCCAGGTTTGGTTACGCCCTCTCAGATTGCTGGCGGAAGGGGAGTGGGGACGGGGGGCAAAGGAGAGGGAGAACAGCCCTATGGCATGCAAAGCCAAGGTCCTATTTCATTTGCTCCTTGGCTAGGTAAGAGTTTTTTGGGGAAGAGGCATGCTGGTTCTCACGGGCATTTGTGGAATGAAATGGCAGGTTCTTTGCTAGCAATAATGCACTGCTAGTTGCAGACTACTGTCCCCTGGGACTTAAAAGACAAATACAGTTTTTTTTAGATGATGGCAGGCATTTTTGTTCATAGTACGTTTTGTATTCCAAAGGGTGTAATCTACTCTCATGAAACAAATTTGTATTAACTTTAGAGTTTCAAAACAGCCATGCTAACTGTTGCCTCAGTGAGCTCGTATTTTGCTGGGCAAGTGAATGGATGTGCCTGTGTGGTGAACAAATAGCTCCCCCAGTTATATGGCTTTTAAGTTTTGTGCCTAACATATATAGAGTTACTGTATGACTCCACATATATTAATATGAAAAAAATACTTTAAATAGCTGCTTGTGTTTGACCTAAGAGATTGTGTTTTTATTGGTCTACAAAAACTCCTGTTCTAGAAAGTCAACATCTGTGGTCAGGTGGAAATGTCATCTCTCTTGCCATGTTGCTTGGTCAGTTGTAGAGAATTACAAACAGCAGGTTTGGTCCTGCAATAGCTGTGCACAATGAGACAAAGGAAAGTGTAATTTTTGGCTTGAATGCATTCAGACAGTATGTCCAAGACAAGGAGCTTTTCATTTGCTCCTACCCAACAGCTGGCACAAACATTTAAATGGCAGTAACGGAGGTGTCCTTACTGTCATACAGCTTTTGCTTTGCTGAAAGCAGGGCTGAGCACTCAAACCTACAGCATAAAAGTTAAAAGCTGCTATGGGAAACTTGTCTCATGATGTTCTTAAAATGCTACTTCGGGCGAGTTTGCAATGCAGTGATGCAGTAGTTGCTACAATGCATGGGCTATATGCAGGTTCATTACTTAGCATGATCAAAGAGAAGTAAAACACATGCCAGGGTGGTATACATTTCACTGAGCTTACTTAATGACATAAAAAGGCAAATTTTTTAAACTGGAGGTCATTTTTTTTGATGGGAAGTGAAATGTCAGCAGTGCTGGGGAAAAGAGGTAGGAACCTTATAAGGCAGCTGGAGAGAAGTTTCACTCACAGATAGACGCGTGCATTCACTGCAAGATAATGACTGCTAGTTCAGCAGAAAAATACTGCTGGATTTTCTCATACATCCTGAAACTTCAATAATAAGGGGTTAAATCCAGAAGAAAGCATGTACTTCCCCAGCTATATTCTCCGGTATTTATTATCAGCTAGCATCAAACAGTGGCAAACTTGAAAGAACATATTATGTCATATAAGAGACCCCCAACGATCAGCAAGCAAAATATATTCACTCTTTGAGGCTGTGCTGACATTTTTAAAATGACAAGGGCAAAGCTCAGCTTCTACTGTTTATAATTCCAGCAGTGAATTACTTGTAATGGATTCTTGGGTATCTATTATTCTGCATCTACTGCTGGAATTAAGGCAAAACCGTATGATAATTTTATTGAAAAGCTGCCTGAGGCTGTTTTGAAGCCTTGCAAGCCACAATTATGCCCTGGTTCAGGGGATCAGGAGAAAGTTCATTGGAGACAAGATGGACAGTGAACAGACTTCATTATTAACCATATAGTTATCATCTATTAAAGTGCTTCCTGCTCTCTGCAGAGGTTTTTCAGTCAAGGGTGGAAAAAAAAAAAAAAAGAAGAAAAAAAAAGAATAGCGTTCACATGCTTCTTTGAAGACATACTTGTTTTAAGGCTCCACAGCACAGACTGACAGACTGGGTGACATGAGGTTGGCAGGCAGGCCAAACTAAAACAGCCATGAAAGGATGCATACTTTGGAAGGATCCTTCAATATATTTTCTGGTTGTGTTATGTTTCTCTCTAATGAGAGCAGATACTTAACTGGAGATTGCAGGAAGATCCTTATATTTTGAGATCCCGATTTACTATTTTATTGCAATAGCTAACTTCAGATTATTTCTCTGCCAAACAAAAGCAACTTGCAGAACTAGGGGAGGACAGGGTGGCAGGGAGATGGTTGATTTTGTTTTGTTTTAATAGGAAAACACCACCACCATTAACATGTTTGTCTTAGGGATAGAAGATACCTTCCGGACAGCTGCCACAGAAGTGAGCTTACTGGCTGGAAGTGAAGACTTCAATGCCACCAAACTGTTTGAAGTTGGTAAGCAGCCTAGTCAATCTTTCAGTAGTAGATAAGAAACTTACTTAGATTTTCCTTTTTTGACTCTCACTGTGGGACTAAGGTTTTAAGTTTATCATTAAACATGTCAGTAAAAATTGTCATTTGTTATCTTGCTTAAGTTTATGACCCGGACCTTAGCTCATTTCGATCATTAAATCTTTCTCTTCTTAACTCTTAACAAATTTCTGTGGCTCTTTTTTTGTAAAATAGTGAGTCTCTTCCCTAGTTCTGAAAAGTGCAGTAAGTCTCAACCCTAATGGAGGGAGAAAATCAAACACTGTTTAGCATTTTGCTGAAATAGCCTTGAATGGAAGATACTATAAAAGCGTTTTAGTTAGTGCTGTCACACTAAAATAAATGGGGATAGCCAAAGCAATTTTGTAGGGCATGATCTATCTAAAACTTATCCCAACCTCTAAAACATTCCGATTTTATCCTTCCAATGAAGCCATAGTGTGGCCACTCTTAAACACTGTATGCTGGACTAATTGGATAAACAATGTACTCCACCACCTCCTTCCTATGGTGGTAGAGCACAACATTTAATGACAGCTGGGATACAACTCTTAAAACAACAGAAAGAAGAAGGACAGATTACTAAGTAAATATTTTGAAAGAATGTTTGCTAAAAGAGTTTTAGGCCCCAATCTTTGCCTTACTCCAGAGTCCTGTTAAGTAAGTGTGGAGCAAGATGTGCAAGGCTTTTTAAAGCCCATAGCCTGATACAAACACCTTAAACAACATTTCATGTAGGAGATGTTTAACCAGATTCTCTGAAGACTGTTGCAAAATAATAAAATGTCAGTATTAAATATACTACTAGTGTATAAATCTCTTTAATCCCAGCTATAAGTCACAGCTGTGATACCACAAAGTCCTCCTAACATACAGACTCTCTGATATTATGTCACATATGCTCATTTAGAATCTGAATCACTTCTGGCTGCATTTGTGAGAAGTCAGCCAAGATCTCAGTCTCTGTGTCTGAACTACAGCTGCTTGAAATACCCCTTTGGGAAGATGCAGACCAAAGAGGAAAAAAAGTATTTGCTAGGTAAAAGGCTGAATTAGGACTTAATAACAAATTTTAGAAAAAATAACCCAGGCTTTGCTTGCCATCTTGATGTTTACAACATCATGAGAAAATCTTTCAAAATCTGAATCTGCTGTTCTTAAAAGGTGAGTGTGTGGACTAGAGCTTTAAACCGAAGGTGGCCTTCAAATCTCTGTACAAGTTCAGGGAATAGAATTGCCCTGTGTCAGTTCTGTTGCTTATAAAGCCGCGTAGTTCCTCTTGTGCTGCATGGGCATATCAGAGGCTTAGCTAGAACTTGCCAAGTAGAAGAAATGTTAAAGATTTGTGGTGGCATTGGTACTGCAATATAATTTGGAGTAGCGATGCCTGAGGACCTCAAAGTCAGTCACATGTTTGATTTCTCTGTCTGACAAGACAGCACATTAACACATTGCAGGCAGGGAGGCAAGCTTTTCTTACTGCCCTTTCTTTCTTAAGCAAAGCACTGGTGCTGAACAGTAATGCTTTACTCATTCGTCATGCTCATATGAACTGGGATGCTGCATAATGTATCTTAAGTTTTCCATTTCCTGTCCTTAAACAGACACTGATAGTTGCGAAAGATGGATGAGCTGCAAAAGTGAGTTCTTGAAGAAATACATGCACAAAGTGGTCAATGATCTTCCCAGCTGCCCATGCTCCTACCCCAGAGAAGTTGCATACAGCACTGCTGAAATCTATGATCGAATTAAGAGGAAAAACTTTCGCTGGAAAGATGCAAGTGGCCCAAAGGAAAAACTGGAGATCTATAAGCCCACTGCACGATACTGCATCCGCTCCATGCTCTCTTTGGAGAGCACAACGCTGGCAGCTCAGCACTGCTGCTATGATGATAATATGCAGCTGATTACCAGAGGGAAGGGGGCGGGTACACCAAACCTGATCAGCATCGAATTCTCAGCAGAACTCCATTACAAAGTGGACATTCTGCCCTGGATTATATGCAAAGGGGACTGGAGCCGATACAATGAAGCACGGCCTCCAAACAATGGGCAAAAGTGTACAGAAAACCCTTCAGACGAAGACTATTACAAGCAATTTCAAGAAGCAAGGGAATACTGAAAAGATTTTCCTCCTCTTCAGACAGAAAGTAGCATTCATTTCCTGGATGCCCAAGAACTGATAACGGCTGCTGCATTATCTCCGTGACAGGAGTTGATCAGTTTCTTTCTAATGAATGTATATAGTTGTAATATAATACATAAGTATTTTTCATAGTGTGTGTAATTTATAAACACATATCTCTCTATCTCACACACACCTATTTTTGCATACAGACATACATAAAACTTGTCCTGGTAAGATTTTATACTGCAATAGCGTTCGTTTAATAATGTGCATTTCATTTTATTCCCCAACTATAACATAAATATGAGATGGGGGGTGGGAAGGAGTGGAGCAGCTGCCATCACCATCAAGCCCAAAGCCCCAGCTGAGGAGGGCACATATTTAAAAGTTATTATAAACAACAGGATTGAAAAATGTACTCTTCCATATGGGAATGGTTTACAAGATTAATGCACCTACGGCATCAGTTTTCTCCATAATTGACATCATGATTAGGCATATCTAAGAAAGGAAGATTTTTTTTATGGAAGGCTAATACTTAAAAGTGGGTATAGTACCTTACTAGCAATTCTTGCTTGGATTTCTTCCTGTTACCCTCTAGCTCAGGTCCTTGCTGTCCATCTGGGGTAGGCCTGCAGGGAGGTGTAGCTGTGGTTTTCCTGTGGACAAGGACACAACTCAGTGGTTCTCCAGGTGTCACAAACAGACCATTCCTGGAGACTTCTCAGATACGGAACTACAGCTGGCAGGGCTTATGTCTTACACTGGGGAGCAGAGCTTCAGGGCAGCTACCTGTAAATTAAGCATGCTGTAAGTCTTTGGAGGAGTGAGGCCACGGAAGGAAATCATGTCAAAGGCAAAAAGAATCACTGTTACTTCTCAATTTTTAACATGAAGAGTGATTAGATCTGCTTCTTTCTTTTAAGAAAAGTTTATTTTATAAAAAACAGGAGAAGTGGAAAATACATTTCTAATTCCCTCAGACAAAGCATGGAACCAGCCTCTTTTCCCCTTTTTATCATATGCTGAGTGTACAGTACTCTATAGAAGAAGCTATTCTTTAAGCAAGCTGTCTGGGAGGGACTATGGTGAGTTAAGTTTCTTCCTTTTTTTTTTTTTTTAAAAAAAAAGCTAGCATTATTTTTGTAAAGTATTTATTGTATTATAACAATAACTCACATATGGGATGTCTCTTACATGAAAGGCTTCTGTAGATGGAACTCGAATGCCAGGAATAAGACTGGTTTTTTTAGGCAAAGGTTTTACTTCCAAATTTTTATAAAGTGCACGTTTACATACATAATCCTGTAATTAAGCACCTGATACCCGTGTTCTTATGGAAGATAAAAATTACACCATGGGTAAATAAATACTTTTCCATCCTTTATAAATACAGTTCCATCCTTTAAAAGCCTGTCTTGCTGCAAGTCAATGTCTTCATTTGGAAAACTAAGGCTAAATGTCACTAGAGAAATGTGTATTTTCGGGTTATGTGGTCTGATGCCCATATGTGCTCTGCATGAGGAACCGCACACAGCAGTAAAGCCAATCTTGCATTACAGTCAATCTGAGCTAAAAGATTCAAGACGGCCACAAAAGACAATTCCCTCTGCTACGTATGTGGACACATATTTATTGTAAATCTTTTCACTAGCTCTGTTGGCCTTTCAGGTGCTGGTTGATTGCGACTTCCCGGACAGACGTGTGCATGCTCCCCCCAGCATTAACTTATGCCTAAGTCCACTGAGTCTGGGAAGTGTCAGGCTTGTGTTGGTTTGCCCAGGTGCTGCGAATCAGAGGGCTAAAAAGCAGCCCGGGCCTTGGACACCCACTTTGACCAAATGTGTGGCGTGCACGCTGCAAAGGCTCTCCCCAGCTCTGCCAGACCTAGCCTGACAGGCTGCAGAGCCTCGGCACTGTACTTACGCTCCAGATTTCCAGAAACACAGCAGTCCAGGCAAAGCTACTGCTCATATGCAACAACAACTGATCTTCCGAGGTAACTTCAGCAGCTGGAAGTCTCGGCCAAGTCATCAGATCTTCCCAGATGCAGGATCGAGCTGGAGGTCGGGGGAGACGTGGATATATTCTAGCACTAGCTGGTAGTAACAAAACATGGCTAGTTGAACAAGAGGGTAAACATGGGGATTGCCCCTTAATTTTTATAGAAACCAGGTTTTGTAAATTCTTGCAAGGTCATATGAAGGAGCCTGTAGCTAGCTGAGCCAGTTAAATTGACAGCAGATGGATGAAAAGCATAAGCAACTCCAGGATCAGTCAGTTACTAGGGAAGACAGGTATTTTCTGCAATATGGGGGAGAAGGCCCAGCTTTTTAGTTCACTTAGCAGTGTGGGGGAACAACAGTCTCAGGTTTCTCTGGGAGGGCAACGAGAGGGCAGTCACAATTTTTGAAATATAAAACATCCCTGCTCTTTATAGATTACTAAATTATGGTGCTATTGAGAGATGTTACTGTACCATTAAAACTGAACATAACAAATAAAGTGTCAGGGAAGAGGAAAAATTATTCTAATAAATGACGCACAAAGTTCAAGTCTTACCACTCATGTTTTGCCAAGGCTAGGAACACTGAAGGAGCCTAAACCACTGATAAGGACATACCAGGTTTTTCATAGCATTAGTCTTGGAGCACACATCAAGAGCGTCGTCACACTTCTGCAGTCTTAAGCAATGGTCTGTATTAAAAACAAAGGCAGTGTTATCTTATAAATTATGATCCCTTTGGCTGCTTTTTTCATCTCCTTTCCAACAACTGTACCTGGAATGACTTTGAGCAGTAGTCTTTAGCAAGGTACTGGAGTTACCATGGCCAAATTTGGCTCAGTCTCTCAAATTTCGTGTCAGAATAAGACCTCAAGAAGGCTTTGTGGTCTTACATTTGTGGGCACAGCTCAGTAGTTAGACGAAGCTGTTTTCATGTGTCTGAGTTACCACGGAGCAACTGTATTCAAAGACCCAACCAAAGATATGAGGGGGATTGAAATGAGCAGAACTAAACAAGGCTTATGGTCTCAACACTGAGAAACCCTCAGAGTCTGAAGTAGCCATCCTGATTCCCAAAAGGAAACCCAAAGCACAGATTTAACAGCAACTCTCCATATCTGAGCAGTTCTGTTTTACCTATTTCTCATCGGCAAAGCCAGAGCAAGGTGTTTTCACCTTCTGGCCGCTCCTTCTTCTGTAGTACCTTTCTCTTGGACCAGCACAGCTGCTCATGAAGCAAAGGAACCAGTCAAGTCACCCAAGTTATTTTTAACTCTGCTCTACCAACAGAGATAGATCACTGCATGGCTGCAGAGTTGAGCTGGCAGGAGTGCCTTAAGCTGGCACCGCCGCTGAGAAGGATGTGTGGAGCAGTGCCCCGAGGCAGCCAGAAATGGATTGAATATGTACCTTTGATGGTTAAAAGGATGAGTGGGCCTGGCTTCACATTGCCTGGACAGCTGCTGAGCAGCAAAATTCCACTAACACAACCCACAGTGATGCATATGGGTTATAGGACAATATAGCGAAAAACAGAAACATACACACATTCACGAATCCCTACAGTTCTGCATTAGTTACCAGCTGCATTTTTCCCCCTGCTGTGCAAAATGGTTAGCACTGTCAACACAACGCATTCTTTCACAAACTGCTGGTGAGCTCACAGGCCCACCTTCCCAAAGGCAGCCGCCTCATTGCGGCTGTAGGGTTGGCTGCGACGCGATAGGGAACCGATGCACCTGACATTTTTTGCCTACGTGTGTTTAGGTGACACCAGCGATGACTCTGCTTTTTCATCCTCAGCAGCAAGCTCCTCCTGACCATTTTATGGGCAAGGTGTCTCCTGCAGCCCAGTGCTGGGTAAAGCTTTTGGGTGTCTATCACAACTCTTGCTGGAGCAGCAGAGGGGCCGTGGCCATCAGGTGAGTGAAGGGTTTACAGACCGCAGTCACAAGCAACCGAAAAGCCACCACAAACCTTCTCCAGCACCAGACCCCGTGAGGCCTCTGGGCACATATAAATCCCACCAGCAGGGTGGCAGACAGAGGAAGGTTGCAGACCAGAGGTGAACAAAATCAGATCTCTTTGTGCACCTGCACGGCCACAGCCCTGGCCCTTCCCCTGCCTCCACACAGAGCGCTGCGGAGGGAGCGCACACGCTGGGGGAAGACCAGCAGTGAGCAGCAGAAAAAGGAGGAGAATTCATCCAGCAAACTGGTGCGAGTGTACATTGCTGCCTGGCTGCATGGCATTTATGTGACAGCTGACAGAGCATGTGTTTTTCTGTCACCAATTCCCCCCTCCCTTCCCTTTGTAACTTTTAATGGAAAAATGTGTGGGCAGTTTCCATTCTGCCTGCACTGTTTCAGACAAATTAAGGGGTTGGCTAAGAAATCACTGGTTTCGTATTTCATACAAAATACACACACATGCATATATTTATATATCTATGTAAATTTATTTAGGATATCCTCTAGCCATGCACTTTATAGCAGCACGTTGCTGAGTGTGATGGCTGCAGGAGCAGACCTACGGAGGAGCCTCCCCTTGTGGTCTGCACAGGGGGATGAGGCTATTTCTGACCTCGCATGGGAGACCTTCACCAGGAAGCTGAACTGGCAGAAGCCATTCCTCAGCTCTGCCTTTTACTTTTTGAGTGACAGGTTTATTCATTTTTCCTTTTCAGTTGCATTGCTAAAGCCACATGCGCCTTTTATGACTGTGCTAATTTTCTATCAGTTTAGGGAGTTATAAATTTTTTCCTGTGTTTGTTCTCTATCGCAGGAATGAGGCGGGGGTGGGATTTTAACCACATGGAAAAGCCTTTCATTCATTAAAATGCACAATTTATAAGGGATTCGAGATGTTATATTCTGAAAGTGATAGCAACACGACACAGGTCAAATCAGCCAAACCCAACAAAACAAAGTGTGGGTGGCTCTAGTTTTCAAAGGAGTGCTTGAATAATATTTCCTTTTTAAACGTGGGCAAACAACACTACATGTGTTAAATGTCAGAATTTGCTGTTTATTACGGGCCTGACCAATACTTTGCTTAGAGCTGAAGAGTGCGTCAGTCCTTTGGCTTCAGGAGGGCTCTGGTACGGCTCCGAAACATGCCTAAAGCAAGGGACAGCATCTGCACGCCGTGGTGGTGGATGCAGGATGTGACTCACAAAGTATGGGGAACAGGAGAAGGTCGGGGAACCAGCTCCCACCCCAAACACCCTCATCCAGGCTGGCTCCTGACTCTGCACGGCTGTGTTTAACACATTTCTTTGCCTCCAAACCCAAAGCTGCAGCTGGGACCCATCTCCACGTCCTGGGGGCAGTTTGAGGAGACATGGCTCAGCCACGCAAAATGAAGCAGGGGTGCGGGCAGCTTTAGGAAAAGCCCTATGGCTGCATAGGGATCTCTTGGTCGGGTAAGAAGATGGGGAAAACGCAAATTTACTTGCCAGTGTGGATGCAGGGATTCCTGTGCCCCGCTGTCCTCAGCAGCACTTTCTGTCAGGCAGTCACCAGGAGGATGTTCAAATCACAACATGGCCTGGCTGCACACCTCCTGCCTGCCAGGAGAAAGTCCTGGCCCATGCAGCACACCCAGGCCTGGTGGCAAGCAGTGGTTTGGAGACACAGCGAGGTCCACCACTGCCTCTGCAGCAGTAACAGCATCCGAAGGCAACGGTGAGCTGAATTCAAGGCATTGGTTCACTTCCACAACCTCATCCTACAAACTACACAGGAAACACAGAATGAGAGCATATAACAGGCAGATGTCGTTGCTTTGGTTTGGGAAAGATGCAGTAGCAGGAACAGAAATGACTTCTGGCCAGTGGGGAGAGGAAACAACAGCACATTAAGTTATAAAATGGCTTCATTAAGGCGCACCAAAATTTATATGAGCATGTGGGTAATGATATCCTAAAGGAGGACAGCCTCAGAGAGGGGTAAATCAGAAGGAACAAAACAAGTCTTGCAAAGGAACCTAGCAAAGGAAATGCTGAAGCAGTGCTTACCTCCCCGGCAGGCTGAGGGCTTCTGTTGCCAGTCCATAGACTCACAGACCCGTTCCCAACTATTTCACCATGTGTTGGATCACCACAAGGTACGCAACACCAGAAAAGCCGGATTAAAAGGGTACAGCCAGTAGGTGAAAAGGGGAGAAAAATTGCTGAGCCTTTTTTTCCTGAATAACAGCCCAGATGGGCTCAAGCTCCCGGAGGTCACAGCTCAGTGGTAGCTGCACCACAGCTTTTAGCTGTCCACAAGAGGTCGATGGTGGTGGTTAACCTTGACAAATAACTATGTTTTGCCCCTGCCCATAGTGGCACAGCCATCAGTACTCCTGTAATTTTATGCGGCTTTTGCTCGAGAGGTCAGCCCCCTTTCTCTCACGCCCAAGGA